CTCCAGAGAAACAGTGAGCATACATCACAGCAGGCCCGGGAGAGTGCTCTACACTTGTGTCCCTTCTCAAGGTGATTCTGTAAGAAAATGTGCACAAAAGTCCCCACAAGGGCTGTCAGGAGCAATTTCTCCTGAACTGTAACTCCTGTCTCAGAGGCAGGAGGGGAAGGTCAGGTGGCGACAGAGACAGCAAAGAGTTCTGGCCACTGCTGGGAAGAAGTCCAAAAAAATTTCTGCCCCCAAAACCTTCAGGTGGAAGGAGACAAAAAGAAGGATTTTCACAGGGAGGGCCCTGCAGTGGCTTCTTTCACTGTGCCAGGGCTCCAACTGAGAAAGAGAAATGTGCTCACTGGGTGGAAGAGGCACCTTGATGGAGAAAAGCAGGGCTCAAGGATTCAGATCCTCAACAGCAGTGGGAGGATGGGGCAGCCCAACCATGCCAAGGGCAGTGTGTTCACCTCAAGGGCAGCCCAACTATCCCAAGAGCAGTGTGTTCACCTCAAGGGCAGCCCAACTATCCCAATGGCAGCCTGTCCAGCCAAGGGCAGCCTGTCTAGCCAAGGGCAATCAATTTATCCCACAGCAGTGTGTCCATCTCAAGGACACCCCATTCAACCCAAGGGCAGCCAACTTGAACATCCCAAGGGCAAGCCTTTGTCAAACAAGGGCCCACTGCAGGGATGCCCTCTCCTGAGGCTCTGCTGGAGCTCTCTGCTCTTTAGAAAGGACTTCATCAGCTAAAAGCTCCATCGTGGATCCCTCAAAGGATTTTAGCTAATGGTGGAAAAGTCTCATTATCACGTGATCCTATCACACAGATTCTGAAGACAATTTTAGAGCCAAACTAGTGTTTTGGAAGCTCAGTCACAATGCATGAGTAGTAGCAATTACTATCAACAACATTTACCAAATATCTACTGAGGCACTCAGCCTGCATAACATGTGGCAAGAGTGAATCCATCCTCTGGCAGAGCAATGAGTCCCAGAAGACAGAATGCACGATCTGACAAACACAAATGTCCTTATGAGTCTGCTGGGACATAAAATTTGAATATAGTGATTCAGAAAAAAACCAGACACTTGCTCGCTCAAAATAAGAATGGAAAGGTCAGTGGGAGCATTGATCAAAGCAGCCAATTGGATCTGCACATGTGTGCTTGCATCCAATGCAATCAAAACATGAGTTCTGCTTCAAGATCAAAAGTGGGTGCTGTCCATCCATCTGGACAAGGGAAAGAGGGCTCAGTTCAGCCCCTGCCTGTCAGGCTTCCACACACACTGACACATTTACACAATCGCCTGTCTGGTTGGCTACAAGCACATGCATAGGCAGAACCTTTGTGTTACCTCTTCTCCTTCTGGTTCCCAAGCTTCCAAGGAGATGCCCCCCACACCCCAATTCCTTTGTGGAGCACTGCTGCTTGCAATCTTTTTTTAAATGGGCTGATACTGCTCCTCCTCTCCAATAGTGCTTTACAGAGTGAATTGAGACAGTGGAATCTTTTTAGCAAAACAAACTCTAATGCAATTCCAATAATTTAAGCATATAAACAGAGACGTCTGTGTGTCTCCTTCCCCCAGACCCATCCAGCTTCAAGAGCCAACCCTGGAACCCAAGGAAAACAACTGTTGCAAAACACCAGGCAGCAGCAATTCCCACCTCTGATGCAGAGAATGTAAATTGCTTTCCCAGTATCCTTCTCTCTTTCTTCCTCAGTAACAGAATTCTGATTATGGTGGGAATGAAATCAACTAAAAGCCAGTCAGTCTTGCTGCTGCATCCTGTGACTAAAAAGTCTGGCTGATGAGATAGAAATGGAAGCATTATTTAGGATTTCCAAAAAGACTCCTTAAAATGGAAAGTTCTGTCCTTTCTGTTCTTGTATTCTCTGTCCTTCCTATTGACTGAAATATGGGCATGATAGCTGGAGCTCCTGCAACTGTCTTGAACCATCAGGTTACTTAGAAGTTAGTGTCACTGCTCTAGAGATGATGGGACAGAAACTAGACAGAGTCAAGTCTGCATGACTTCATAGCACTGAGATTCCAGTTCTGTACTTCCTGCCTCTGCACTTCATTTAGGTGAGAGAATAACCCCTGCATATTTGGCACACTGTTACTTTGTTGTTGTTTTTTTTTTCTGCTATGTAACCATATGAACTACCTAACAGTCATATCTAAATGCTAACAGATCTGTCTATACTTTATGTTTCCTGTGAAAACTTCCACTATGAGACTCTCCTTGTGTAGCATGTTGGAAAGGCAAAACACCAGAGAACTGTATGGATAAGAATGTGCGGCCATTCTGGTCTGTACCATATAGAACAAATTTCTGTATGAAATCATTAGTGAACACTTACTGAGTGCTTGCTGTGTGCCAGGCTATCTGCTAATAATTTATTACTTGTGTATACATTATTCCATTTAATATTCAAGTCAACCACAGGAGGTGGGCAATGAAATGGACAGTGTCAGATGAGGAAATTAAGGTTGAGAGGAGTTAATAAGTTGCCCAAAGCCACACAGCTGGCTAGCTGCTGAGCAGTCCTTTGAGACCACCCCTCTCTTCTGTTGCCATCTCCAAATGCAAGTAACCCAGACGCTAAACAAAATGAGAGTCAACAAAAGGGACTGTGGATTATTTATTTTTTAAAGATTTTATTTATTTATTTGAGAGGTACAGTTACTAAGAGAAGGAGAGACAGAGAGAAAAAGGTCTTCCATCTGTTGGTTCCCTCCCCATATGGCTGCAATGGTCAGAACTTGGCCAATCCAAAGCCAGGATCCTCTTCTGGGTCTCCCAGGCTGGTACAGGGGTCCAAGGACTTGGGCCATCTTCTAATACTTTCCCAGGCCACAGCAGAGAACTGGATCAGAAGAGGAGCAGCTGGGACTAGAACTGGTACCCATATGGGATGTTGGCATCACAGGCAAAGACTTAGCCTACTACACCACAGCACAGGCCCCTGAATTATTTTATAATAAAGAAAATTTAGGAAGAATGTAGCTATTTTAAGAAGAGTTGAATTGTGTTCTCTTTCACAATCTCAACTTTCGATGGGGAAGTTATTAAATCATATTGGCTTGGGTTCAAATCCTGTTTTACTGCTGTTTTACTGCTAGCTAGAAGTGTGATCTCAAGCAATTCTTTCATCACCACCTTCTCTGTGAGAGGTATGGATTTATGAAAGAATGCATGAAAAGTTTACAACACTAGGCCTGCATGTGGTAAGCAAACTATTACTAATCTTGTGCTATAGGGAGGGGTGAATAAGACAAGACATTATCCACATTTTCTAGAAGAATTTGAAATGGGTTCTCTCTCTCTCTCTCTTTTTTTTTTTTTTTTTTGACAGTCAGAGTTAGACAGTGAGAGAGAGAGAGAGACAGAGAGAAAGGTCTTCCTTTTTTCCGTTGGTTCAACCCCCAAGTGGCTGCTACTGCTGGTGCATTGTGGCCAGCACACTGCGCCAATGCAAAGCCAGGAGCCAAGTGCTTTCTCCTGGTCTCCCATGCAGTGCAGGGCCCAAGGGCCTGGGCCATCCTCCACTGCACTCACAGGCCACAGCAGAGAGCTGGAATGGAAGAGGAGCAATCGGGACAGAATCCGGTGCCCCGACCGGGACTAGAACCCGGGGTGCCGTGCCGCAGGCAGAGGATTAGCCTAGTGAGTCACGGCACTGGCCCTGAAATGGGTTCTTGAAGACCTGGAACAGAATGTTGAACAGTGTATGGTGTTCCCATGCCTGCCAGTCACATTAACCTGAGCAAGGTATCTCTCTGGGAATCTCAGTTTTATCATTTATCAAGTGGGCATAGCAATATCATGCATGAGTTGTTGGAAGAAAGAAAAAACTACATACAGAGTGATATACAGAGTTATTTATCACCATGTCCATTAGCCACCACTAACCCTTGTCACTTCTTATTTCTTCCAAATGAAGCAAAAAACCACCTATCCTACTTTCTTTTCTTTTTAAAGAATTTTGTTTATTTATTTGAGAGGGGAAGAGGAGGAGGAGGAGGAGAGAGAGAGAGGAAAAAAGAGTAAGAAAAAGAGAGACAGAAAGAGAGAGAGGGAAAGAGAGAGAGAGGTAAAAAGAGAGAAGACAGATATAAAGAGAGAGTGAGAGAGAAGAGATAGATAAAAGAGAGAGAGAGAGAGCCCATCTAACAGACAAGGCTGGGCTGGATCAGAGCCAGCAACTGGGGACACAATCCAGGTGTCCCATGTGGGTGGCAGGAACCCAGTTACCTGCATTATCATCTGCTGCCTCCTAGGGTCAGCACTGGCAGGAAGCTGGAGGCAAGAACTAGAGTCAGGAATTCCTCCTAAATGAAATGAAGATGCTGTAGCTGCTAGGCTCAGCTCCCATTATACACTTTCTTATTCTTCCCAATGCAAACTGTTAGTAGAATTTCTCTTGGATTTAGATAAACACAACAGTTATGATCCAGAAATATTAAGACTTATACTAATGAAAGAGTCGGCATTGGATAATAGAAAAACAATAATGGCAATGAGAAAATAATGACAGTTTTCAATGGAAATCAGATAATTTTTAATATCATAAAGCCCATTGGGACAATCTATCAAAATTTAAAACTTCTTTACTTAATATATGCTAAACTGATCTTCTGTATATAAAGAGAATTGAAAATGAATCTTGATGTGAATGGAAGGGGGGAGGGAGAGGGAAAGGGGAGGGTTGCAGGTGGGAGGGAAGTTATGGGGTGGGGGAAGCCATTGTAATCCATAAGCTGTACTTTGGAAATTTATATTCATTAAATAAAAGTTAAAAAAATGTAAAACTTCTGTGCATCAAAGAGCACAATTAGCAGAGTGAAAAGGCAACCTACAGAATGAGAAAAAATATGAGGGGACCTTCAAAAGCTCATAGAAAAATAGAAGAAAAAGATGTTTATTTTAGTGCAAAAAAAAAGTTTAATTCCATGCATAATTTTTTCATAATATGGATTTTCCATGAACTTTTTGAAGATACCTCCTATTTGCAAATCATATATCCAATAAGGGGTTAATATTTACAGTATATAAAGATCTCCTACGACTCAATAACAACAAAAACTTGACTAAATGGGCAAAGCACTTGAATAGACATTTTTCCAAAACAGATAGCCAAGTAACCAATACGCATATGAAAAGAAGCTCAACATCTTAATGACTGGGTAAATACAAATCAAAACCAATATGAAGTTCCAGGACCACCATTAGCTAGCACCAAAAACCCATTAGGATGCTCCCACCAAAAATTAGAAAACAACAAATATTGGAAAGGATGTGCAGAAACCAAACTTTGTGCACTGTCGGTAGGAATGTAAAATGGTGAAGCTACTGTGGAAAGTAGTATGGCAGTTCCTCAAAATCATTAAAAATAGAATTACCATGTAATCAGCAATTCCATGTCTGTGTATATGTCCAAATGAATTGAAGGTGGAGACTGGAACAGTACTTGCACACACATGTTCATAACAGCAATATTCACATGGAAAACATGGAAGCAGCCTAAACGCCCACCGACAGATGACAGCATAAAGAACATGTGATGCATGTTTACACACTGTGTAATTTTATTCAGCCTTTAAAAGGAAGGCAATTATGACACCTGCTACAACATGGATGAATCTGCAGGGCATTATGCTAAGCGGAATAAGCCAGCCATGAAAGAAAATGCTGTCCGATTCCCATTATTGGCAGTACCTAGAGTGGCCAAGTCCGTAACGACAGAGGAACTGCGGTTGCTGAGGCTGCGGGAAAGAGGGCATGGCGAGCTTCTCCGTGGGAACAGCTTTCATTTCGCAAAATGAAGTTCTGGAAATTGGCTGCACAACAGCGTGGACATATTAACATCACCAAACTGCACCCTAGCCCCAAAAATGGTTAAGAGGAACCTTCCATGTTGTACATACTTCAGCACAAGAATATATATCCTGAAACCCTTTTGAAAGAACAACAGGTAGAAAGCAGGAGACCAAATGAGAAGAGGGGGACCGGGATATTATGTGGGTGTCAGTGGTGCATTTGACCAGGACATCCGTGAAAGTCATGCTCCAGATTAAATTGGGCTGGTTTTGAATAGTGTTGTCTAAACGGAAGGCTGGCAGGGTGAAAACACTGCATAAACAGGAGTAAATGGGGACCACGTCAGGTTGGAAGCAAAAGGCCCACTGGGGCATGTCGGAGTCTGCTGCTGGAACCGGCCTCCTCATTTTAACAAACTCATTAATGTCCTATAAGAAGGCGGAAACAGCCACTGCCAATGAAATTTGCAAAGATATGTTGGCAATGCCCTGGACTTGGCCGTAATGGCATAAGCATCGCTGGGACGGAGAGAGATTTTCCACTAGAGAGTTAATTGGATTAAACCCATCACATCCTGGGATAAGGACACTTGCTCAATTCCAACAGTCGTCTCTGGAGCAGAAAGCAAATTCTGGAATGTGCTGCAGTTCATATACTTGACGGAGGCCAGTGGAAGGAGAATCCTTTCCTAGAATAAGACTGCTTGTGTCCTTTACCTCTAGGTAGAAAACAGTGGGATCCACATAATAATAATAAAGACATAAGAAAAGAGATGCTGAGAGAAGTAGGGGCATTACAGTGCTTCTTCCGTGGACAGTTTAGGCAAAATGTCCACAAAGCCTAAAGCACAGAGGCTTTGAAGTTTGACACAGATTTTACAACTCCCTTCACTGCCTACAATCTGTCAGTGGCTCTCCAGGGCACTTAAGAGAAGTCTCAAATCCTTGACGATGCAGAATGGCCTGGGCCCTGCCTGCTCATCCAAATTCCTCCCATTGCATTTCTCATTCATGCCATGGTCTTCCGCTCCTTTGCTTGCCCATCAGCAGTTCCCGTCTTCTACCAACAGCACCACAGTTTTCCTTGGCAGATTCACCCCTTCCCCACCCTGAGTTACATTTCCATCCCCAGTCACTGGGCTTGGTTCAAGGCAAGGCACAGAACTCAAGCTGGGCCAATCTGACGTCATCCCAAAGCTCTTTGAACAACCCTGGCTCCACAGCAGTTGTCCTGATGAGGCTGACCTCATCTGCAGGGTTTTGCGGGTGTAGGTGTGTTGGCGTTGTGAGCAAGGTGCTTCTTTGTTATGCACAAGCACCTTGTGTGTTGCAGGCACTTAGTATCTCTGCCTGTGTGCACTAAATTCCAGTACTGCTCCCTGAGTCATTGTGATGACAAAATGAACCACCATACGCCCCAATACACTCACACCTGAGGACTACCTGTGACTGAGAACAGCATAGAACTTTGGGCCATGAAACAGAAACCTAAGAATGAGACACTTTGACAGCACGGTCCATCCATCATTCAGATCTCCAGCTTACAAGTCACTTCCTCAAAGGGGCCTTTTCATAGCTTCTCTACCTAAACCAGATTTCTGTCATGAATTCCCCCCACTTACTACGGGCAGTTCTCCACCAATTTGCAAATGCATGTGCAGTTTTTTGGCTGTTTATTTCATATCTGCTTTCTACCACTAGACTGTAAGTTCTATGAAGAAAATGGTTATTGGTTTCTGAGTGATTGCTGTTTAATAAACATTTGCAGAGAAAGGAAGGTGCTATGGACTGCGTGTGTCCCAGATTCGTCCCCTGGACTGCTAATTCCATCTGGGATGGTATTGGCAGCTAGGGGCTTCTTGAAGCGATAAGTTCCTGAGGGTGAAGCCCTCATACGCAAGATTAGGGCCCTTTCAAAGATCCCAGAGAGGTCTGCCCCCACTTCTACTTGGGAGATTATGGTGAGAAGATGGCTACAGATGAGAAAGCCTTCATCAGACACCAAATCTGCCAGTGCACTGATCTTGGAATTCCCAAACTACAGAATTTTGACAAACAAGTTTCTATTGTTTGTAAGCCACCCAGTCCAGCAGCCCAAACAGACTAAGACAGAAGGTTACTTGGAAACTGGTAACACTTAGTAACTAGCATCTCAAGACAACCCACGGAAGTCTGTTTCATCTAAGCACCCAAATGTCATCGCCCGTGCTGTCCTTAAGAGAGGAAAGAGCCGGTGCCGCGGCTCACTAGGCTAATCCTCCGCCTGCGATGCCGGCACACCAGGTTCTAGTCCCGGTCGGGGCGCCGGTTTCTGTCCTGGTTGCTCCTCTTCCAGGCCAGCTCTCTGCTGTGGCCCAGGAGTGCAGTGGAGGATGGCCCAAGTGCTTGGGCACTGCACCCGCCTAGGAGACCAGGAGAAGCACCTGGCTCCTGGCTTCAGATCAGCGCAGTGCGCAGGCCCCAGCGCGCCGGCCACGGCGGCCATTGGAGGGTGAAACGACGGCAAAGGAAGACCTTTCTCTCTGTTTCTCTCTCTCTCACTGTCCACTCTGCCTGTCAAAAAAAAAAAAAAAGAGAGAGAGAGAGAGAAAAGAAGAGCTGAGGCTGACTAATGGAGCCCAGGAGCTTACCTACCTCTCCCCAAAGCCAGTTCTGTGAATCCCCCCAGGGTTGCACAGGGACAGAGCCCAGCGCAGAGCAGCAGGGGCCGGAAGACAGCAGCGAAAGGAAGTGGTCTCAAAGCAGTTTGGCCAGCCCCTGCCCCTCTCCTCCACTTACCCCAATCTTGGCAATGGTTTCAAAAGCTCCAGCAGTGGGGAGGAGTGGAGGTGAGAAAGAGATCAAGTGTACCATGTTGGAAATCAGAGTCGTCATTTGGGGAACTCACATTGCTTTGTGGCACTCAGCGCTATTTACCGGTTCACAATACACTCCCGTCCTCGCAGGGGAATTATTCTCCTCATTATGAGTAGCCTTGGTGGCACTGGAATCCAGATAGATGCCTTCCCTTTGGAAGCCAGTGGGTTAGGCTTTTTCTACTTGGCAGCACAGTTAATGGATTTTCTCCTAGAACTTTGGAATCTCGAGTGAGCAATACAAGCGACAGCCACAGAGACTGGAGGACTTTCACCCAGTAGTGGGAACCTTTCCAGAGCGTTCCTGCTGCTTGCTCAGGCCTGACTTCTAGTTTCCCAGCCCTCCAGGAGTGCCTTGACTCCCATCCACTTCCAAGCCCAGTCCCTACCCTTCTCTATCCTTGGACTCTCTCAATATCATTCCAACAAGATTCCTTTTGTCTAAATTACCAGGGTCAAGGCCAGGCATTTGCCTACTTATGAAGATACCGCTTGGGATGGCTGCATCTCATACTGGAGTGCCCGGGGTCAAGTTGCAGCTATGCCCCTGATTCTAGCTTCCTGCTAATGCGCATCCCATGAGGCAGCTGGTGATGATTCAAGCCACCCACATGGGAAACCTATATTGAGATTCTGGCTCCTGGTTTCAGCCTGGGCCAATCCTGGCTTTTGCCAGCAGTTGGGGAGTGAACCAGTGAATGAGAAACTTCCATATTTTTGTCTGTCAGTTTCTGCCTGTAAATAAATTTTTTAATTAATTAATTAAAAATTTTAAAGAATAATAATAAATTACCACATTCAGAGACTTGTATTTACAGTGTAAAATTCTGGATGGACCTCCTGAGAGTGATCAATTCGTTCACTGCACTTTCACATTTGCATTCATTTATTCCAAATATAGCTAATGGAAGTCCAATATGCCCCCATGCATTGTGTCAGGTGTTGGATACAAAAACAAGCATGATTCAAGCTAAGACTTAAGAGGACACAGAGGAGATGGAGAAATAAATCTGATTAAAATAAATCAAATTAAAATTAGGGTTATTTAATCCACGGAAGAGTCCTGGGAAGACAATGAGTGATGTGAATTCAATTCTCCTCCCTTCACTCACACTTCCAGTCTCTCTGCCTCTGTCAGTTCTAATGGCCTCTGGAGACAGCAGACTCAAGTGAATATTTGGGTGCCGTGGAATCTCTGCACATTGTCTCCGCAATTGGCTGGACAGGAACGCAGGGAAGGCAGAGCAGCTCATAAAGCAGAGTTCATGATAAAATCTGGAGCTCCTCAGGAGCACTGCCTGGATAACCTGGCCCTAAGAAACCAAGAAGGGTCAGATTGGCAGCTTGAGTCCCTCCTGCCCCAAGGCTGAGACAGGGGGAAAGGAAACTTCTTCCAGGCTCCTAATTAGTCTGCCAGCTGCCACACAGTCCCCAAGCCCATAGGGAGAAAGACAGCCTTGCCTTCCACCACTGTTGGGGCTGCTGCCACATTAAGCACCTTAACAAGCAGATGTAGGCCTCGGAGAGTTGAAATGCCTCTCATCCAGCTGCCGGAGAAATGCCCATCCGAAGAGACTGAGAGCCTGCAGAGGGAAACAGAGCATCTGAAGAAGAATGCCAACAAGCCTAAGACCCAAACACAGCACATGCAGCAGCAAAACCCAAATAGCTATCTGCAGTCTAAACAAACTCAACTGAAAGTTTCAAAGAAAAACCAAAGCTCAGGGTAGCGACTGCTGAGACCCAAATTATTGACCTGGATGATACAAGAAACATTTAAAACACAGAGAAGAAAATATGACAGATTCAAAACTATATTCAAGAGATAAAAGGTATGAATCGTGGGTGTTCCAGAAAAAGATAAGGGACAACTAAAGTAACTAGTAGAGTACTTGAAAGGTAATCTATAGGAGTGAAATTGACACTTGGAGATGCAATGATTTTAAAAGCCCTTGTCTCAACTGCTGAGGAGCAGTGCTTTTTTTCTTCACAGTATGTATTAGACTCTTTTACTTAGTGTAGGGCTAATCTTATGAGTATAAAGTTAACTGAAAATAGATCCTTGTTAAAAAAAAGTAACAATGGGACTAGGAAAGGGGGGAGGAAGAAGTGTGGGGGTGTGGGCAGGAGGGAGGGTAAGGTGAAAAGCATCACTATGTTTCTGAATCTGTATATACAAAATTTGTATACCTTAAATAAAAGTGTTTAAAAAGTTGCAGGGATTTTAATAAGGAAAAGAATGAGGTCTGTTTGAGTTCTGACAGATAGGAGAGAAATGGGACACATCAAGAACATTCTAGTGACATTCCAATCTGGGAAAAAGAAAGATCTTGCAGGCATTGAAAAGGAAAGAGCTCTATCCGCATGGCAAAATCAATCCGATTGGCACAACATTTCTTTATTGTAGTCTCAGAAGTGGGAAACAGTGAAACAACATCTACAAACACTGAGCTCTTACATACACCTCTTGGAATGGAAGGAAAGCACACAGGGGCATCCCAAGAATCAAAATCTATCACCACTGCAGTCCATGCTAGGAAGAAGAATCAAGGCTGGGATTGTAGCCTGGTAGGTTAAGCCACCGCCTGCAATGTCAGCATCCTATACAGGCTCAAGTTCGAGACCTGGCTGCTCCACTTCCGATCCAGATCCCTCCTAATGTGCTGGGAAAGCAGCAGAAGATGGCACAAGTGCTTGGGCTTTTGCATCCATGTGGGAGACCCAGAAGAAGCTCCTGGGTCCTGGCATCAGGAGCCGTTGTGGCCATTTCAAGAGTGAACCAGCAGATGGAAGACCTCTGTCTCTCCCTCTCTCTGTGTCTCTGTGACTCCACCTTTCAAATAAATAAAGCAATAACTCTTGAAAAAGAAAAGAAAAAGAATCTAGGGAGGATATCCATCTGCAAGAGAATGAAGTTGGAACCCATAGTTAACACCATACAAAAAAATTATCTCAAAATGAATCAGAGACCTAAAGGTAAGAGCTAAAACTTTAACTCTTAGAAGAAAATATAGGAATAAATATGCATGATCTTGAGTGAAGAAATGGTAAATCACAAGCATCAACTGAAAAAATAGACAAATTGGACTTCAAAAATTAACTTCGTTGAAAATATTTGTGCTTCTAAGGATACCCTCATGAAAGTGACGAGGTAACCCATACAATGAGAAGAAGTGTTTGCAAATTATGTATTTGACAAGAGACTTGTATCTAAAATATAAAAAGAACTCTTTTCTTTTTCAACTCAACAATAAGACAATCCAATCTTAAAATGGGCAAAATGTCTCCCTTGACATTTTACCAAAGAATGAAGTCAAACTGCCAACAAACACAGAGAAAGAAGTTTAACATCTTTAGTTCAGCATTAATCCCAAAGGAAATGAAAATTAAAACCACAGTGAGAAGCCACTTCACACCCACTAGGATAGCTATAATCATAAAGGAATGTCGGAGGTGAGGGAATTAACCATGGCGTAGTCACTTGGAAATAGCTTGGTAGTTCCTTAAAAAGTGATATGATCCAGCAGTTCCACTCCTTTGTACATACACCAACAAGAAATGAAAACATTTGTCCACATAAAACCTTGCACAAAAATGTTCATAACAGCATTGTTTCTTATAGTCAAAAAGTGTACATACCTTAAATGACCATCAGCTGATGAATGGATACACAAACTGTGCTATACCCATACAGAATGTTATTTGATAATAAAGAAGAATGATGTGTGATGTATTACACATGTATTACAATATGCATTAACCTGGCAAATATTATGCTAAGGGAAAGAAGCCAGCCACGAGGACCACAGTTTGTATAGTTTCATTATATGAAATTCCCAGAATGGGCAGATCTTAGATACTCAGAATATATTGTTTGTTCCTTAGGAGGAATGAGAGTGAATGACTGTTGATAAGTAGGGTATTCTTTTGGGAGTGGTGAAAATATTCTAAAGTATTTATCACATTTTTCAAAATCAGGAACTGTGGGCATTAAATTCATAGTCTCTGATATGGGACACAGATGCCCCAACTGGCATCATATTTTTAAAGATTTATTTATTTAGTTAGTTATTCAGAAGGTAGAATGAGAGATTGTGAGAGAGAGGGAGAGAGATCACTCTCCCATCTGCTGGTTCACTCCCCAAATGGCCAAAACAGCCAGGGTTGGCCAGGCCAAAGCCAGGAGCCAAAAACTCCATTTAATCTCCCAAATGGGTGGCAGAGACCCAAGTACTTGAGCCATCATGTGCTGCCTCTCAGGTTGTGCACTGGCAGAAAGCCAGATCAAATGCAGAGGCAGGACTCCAATATGGAAAGCCAGTATCCCAAGTGACAGCTCAATCCTCTGTCCCACAATACCCAGCCCTCTGAAGTTATATTACAGTGAGAGCTGTACAACTCACTATTCTAAAACCAACACAACTGTATAGTTTTGGTGATTTTTTTTGAATTATTTGAGAGGCAGAGTTATATAGAGAAAGACAGAGAGGTCTTCCATCCACTGGTTCACTCTCCAAATGACTGCAACAGCCATAGCTGGGCTGGAACAAGATCTTCTTCCAGGCCTCCCACACAAGTGCAGGAGCCCAAGGACTTGGGTCATCTTCTACTGCTTCCCAAGGCCATAGCAGGAAGCTGGATGAGAAGTGGAGCAGCTGGAACTCAAACTGGTGCCCATATGGGATGTTAGTGCTGCGGGTGGAGATTTAACCTACTATGCCACAGCGCTGGCCTCAATTTCTGCAAATTGTATCTCAACACAAACATTTAGAAATTAAATTTTAAATTGATTTATTCAATCAGGCTACCCACATTTTTTGAGAAAACTTAGGGAAGGATCTAAGCAAACGAACCAGAAAAGACATTTCAAAAGGGAAGGGAAAAAATAAGAGAATAAACAGTTAAACTGCAAGCCGTGCAATAATATATGAATAATTGAATCTAAATGCATAATAATAAACTAAGAATATGAAATACACTTTATAAAAGTTCTCTTGAGGGTCCAGCACTGTGTCGTAGTGGGTAAAGCCACCGCCTGTAGTGCCGGCATCCCAAATGGATGCCGGTTCCAGTCCCAGCTGCTCCACTTCCGATCCAGCTCTATGCTCTGGCCTGGGAAAGCAGTGGAAGACGGCCCAAGTCCTTGGTCCCCTGAACCCACGTGGGAGACCTGGAAGAAGCTCCTGGCTCCTGGCTTTGGATCAGCACAGCTCCAGCCATTGCGGCCAATTGGGAGTGAACCAACAGATGGAAGACCTCTCTGTCTCTCTCTCTCTGCCTCTTCTCTCTCTGTGTAACTCTGATTTTCAAATAAATAAATAAATAAATATTTTAAAAAACCAAAATTCCAGAGTTTCATTAGAGTAGAGTGAAGCTGGGGGTTGAACATCCTGGAGCAGCAAGCTTGCACCTTGTTGGAGTAAATATTTGATATACTGTTTTCAAATAATGCAGTTCACAGGAAGTGTTCATCAAAGAAAGGGTTGATAAAAGGGAAAGCAAAGTAGAACTTTCAAATTTACAGGGGGTTGTGGGATACAGGGGAGGCAGTAAAGAGAAGTTCCTTGTGGGTGCAAACTGTTGAAATCTTTACTTAGTATATACTATGTTGATCTTCTGTATATAAAGATAATTAAAAATGAATCTTAATCAAGAATGAGATGGGAGAGGGAGTAGGAGATGGGATGATTTGTGGGTGGGAGGGTGGTTTTTTTGGGGGGGGGGGAACCACTATAATCCAAAAGTTGTACTTTCCAAATTTATATTTATTAAATAAAAGTTTTCTAGAAAAAAATAAAGTGCTGCCAGTATCTCATATGGGAGCAGGTTCAACTCCTGGCTGCTCCATTTCCAATCCAGCTCCTGGCTAATAGAAAATTAGCAAGGGATGGCCCAAGTGTTTGGGTCCCTGCACTCATGTGGGAGACCCAGATGAAGTTCCTGGCTCTTGGCTTTGGCCTGGCCTAACCGTGGCCATTATGGCCATCTGGGTTGTGAACCAGAGGATGGAAGATATTCTCTCTCTCTCTCTCTCTCTCTCTCTTTAATTCTGACTTTCAAATACATAAATAAATAAAAATTCTTAAAAAATAAAAAAGAGAAGCTGGAGCAAACCTGTAATACAACAATGTAAAACAATTTTTATTTCCCTAATCTGTGTTCTTCTGATGTTTTCTCATGGTTAGATGGGGCTAGGGGTTTCTGGAAAGGACACCATGGACGTGAAATGCCCTTTTCTGCCGCATCTCATCAGGAACACACACGATCCACACACCATCACTGATGAGGCTAACTGTCTCGTTTGGTGTTAGTGAGGTCTCTCCACTCTGAAGTTACCACTATTGGCTCTCCCTCCTCTGCTCTCCAAAGCCACTCATTAAGTCTTGCCATCTTTTGGACAGGGTAAGGCAGGAATTAAATGCCAACTACTGGAGTGGGGATAGCTATACAGATTTGGAATCCTATGGATTTCTTAGAACACAAACCTACACGGCATAATGTCATGTCTGCTAATTATTCCAGCAGATCTGAACTGAGTAGATTCCCAGCAAGAATCCGAGAGCATCCCATGGAGGTTAGAGAG